AAAAAAGGAGGAAAAGAAAAGAAACATCTCAACTTTTATTACAAGTTTTCAATCAATCACCTCTATACTCGATTTATAGGGTGAAAGTTAATTTCATCGTATTAAAACCTTAAATTTGAACATGATGAAATATACTTCTTTTATTAAGTTTTTTCAAGATATTATTGAGGTAGAAATTTGATCCAGTTGAATGGGCGAGAACGCACGTTTCTCATCCTAGAGAGTATTTGCAATAAATCAAACTCCACATTGGTACTCCCCTGACACATTCCAATGTCTAAGTCACTACTTAGAAAATCAAAATAAATGGGGTAGGAGAGCAAGAAATATTTGTGTGCTAGAAGTTAGCACATCTTGTGGAGGGATTTGGTTCTCCTTTTATAAGAGGAAGACACTCGATGACGTATCTTTTCGAATTTATGTTGTGCTATTTGCCAATATGTGATCGATAGGTATCGCAGATTATTGAACAGGGACAAAAACACTTCCGCGCTATCGTTCGATGTTTTGGTTATGAGACCCTCTGCCTGAGGTTCTGACACGAGCTATTATGTCCATGGGCCAGCTGTGAGGACCTCTAATCCTTGTACTTTAATGTGATTGGGACCTGTGGCCCGCAGCCTGCAGGGTGCAACCTCGTGGTGGGTGAAAGTTTACCCATAACAGATATATAGCTAAGTTGAATCATTTTAATAGATGAACATGCTCTTTATAATAAGTGGTGCTATTATTTTTAAGTATATATTGAGTATTTATTTTGTTTATTTTTCCGCAGTAGGTTTGTGTTTATTTATTATTTATTTTTTCTTTTGGTTATTTGATTTTATAGTTTGGATTAAGCCCTCCATCACTTATTGATTTTTGAATGTTTCGTTGGGTAGACAGGTGACATAGTGGTTGATGTCGGAACATTTTTCTTGTTTAATTTTGAAATATTATTAAGTTGAAGACTCCACATATTAAAATAAATTAATTACAAGTAAAAAAAAAAAGGGCAAATTAGTTAGTGAGTGGCTCGCTAATTGCGTTTAGCCAAGTTATTAAAAACCCCAACCATCCATTTATACCTTCAAACCTCATTTTTTCATAAAGATA